TCCTGTGGGCAGTTCCACTCTGTCCTCTAGGGGTGCTGTGGGTCAGAATGGACTCCAGGCAGTGGGTGTGGTTTGGGCTTTGCTTCTGTGAAGAGTGACAGCCTTGGAGATCCTGTGGGCAGTTCCACTCTGTCCTCTAGGGGTGCTGTAAGTGGAATCAACTGGATGGTAGTGGGTGTTTGTTTTTATTTTCCTGAGTGCATTAAAACATGAGGAGCTCTCATGGAGTAGTGCCTAAGGCATTTGACTGCTAACCAGAAGGCTGGCGGTTCAAACCCACCAACCACTCCTCAGAAGGAAGACTGGGCAATCTACTTCCATAGAGATACCCCTCAGAAATCCAAGAAGGGGTCGCTGAGTTGGATCCAACTCCACAGCAGTGAGTTTGGTTTTGTTTTGGTTTATTAAAACACGATCAAGACTGCCCTCACTCGGTTCTAGAACGGGCCCAGGCAGGCTGCCTCACTGGCCTTGCCGTTGCCGCGACTCCTTGAACCCGTGTCTCCACTGGGCGACTCGGGTGCAGACAGGGGCCTGGCTCAGCCCAGAGACCCGAGTCCAGGCTCCAACCACACAAACGTGTCTCTTCTCAAGGCCCGAGCGTGCAGAGTCACAGCTCCGGAAGCCACGACTTGATGCTCTTGGAAGATGGCAGAGAAGGTGAGCCCAGCCGACCTCAAACCTTCCAGTTCCGCAGTGGGGCTGGCGACCCGACGTCACGGTCAGGATCCCAAGGGCCTGAACCAAGACCACGACTCGGCTCTCCGCTCCTCAGCAAAAAGCCTTCTGGGTAAGTGTTTAATGTCCGCGGCGCCATCGCCAGGGAATGGGAGTCTCCTCCCTGAACTGGGAGCGCTGACGGCTGCGCAGGCGCTGATGACGTGAAGGTCACTGAATGCTACGCAGAAAAGCGGCTGAAAGCGCAAAGGTTAGGTACAGTTTACCGCAATAAAAAATAAAAAGTGCACCCTCGGCCTGAGGAGTTTTGGAGAACAAAGGACGGCTGACCGGGACACAGGGTAAGCCGTGCTTGCAACACATATATTTGGAGTCGCAGCTGCCCTGCCCTCCCCGACAAAGCTCATGGCATTGGCCTTCCAGACCCCACCCTACGACGGAGAAATTCCCGAACGGTGCATGTGATGGCTGTCCCGCGGGACGCGCCTACTTCACGTCACTGGACTGTGCATGCGAACACTGTTGCAGTGGCAAAGTTCTCCTGCCAGTGAGTTTACAACAGGAACAGAGTGCAGACGAAATCTACACACTCCCACCCGACCCAGACATCGACCCTAACAAGCTGGGTACGCTGTTCTTTAAGAAGCTCTTGGGCAGTGTCAGGCATTCAGCTGCTAACCAAAAGATTGGAGATTCGAACCCACCAGCTGCTCAGCGGGAGAAAGATGAGGCAGTCAGTCTTCTTTCTAAAGATTACAGCCTTGGAGACCCTGTGGGCAGTTCCACTCTGTCCTCTAGGGGCGTGTGGGTCAGAATGGACTCCAGGCAGTGGGTGTGGTTGGGGCTTTGCTTCATGAAGACTGACAGCCTTGGAGACCCTGTGGGCAGCTCCACTCTGTCCTCTAGGGGCGCTGTGGGTCAACTGGAGGGCAGTGCGCTTGCTCTGGGTTTGGGTACCGGGTTCTTAGGCCCAACACCAGGCCCACTTCACTTTCTGACCACAAAGGAAGTGCCCTCTCCCTCCCCAAACACCTCACAGGGAAAAACGTAAACCTTCCTGCCTCCACTTTCCACCCGTTATGTGAACATGGAATCTGCCCTTATTTTCCCTTTTTCCCCCACTGTACAGATTTGAAAATAAAATCATCTACCTGCTCACAACACGAGGAAACACGAAAAAAATAAACTAGAACCTTGGTTTCCTAAAACCTCACAAGTGACCAAACCAAAAACCAAACCCACTGCCGTAGAGTCATACCCGACTCATAGCAAACCCTCCTTGTGTTTCCGAGGCGGTATCACTATGGAAGTAGATTGCCCAACCTTCCTTCCAAGGAGTGGCTAGCAAGTTTGAACCGCCAGCCTTCTGGTTAGCAGTCAAATGCCTTAGGCACTACACTACCAGAGCTCCTTGCAAGTGACAGTCTTCCAATAAAATACCTCTCCTTATTATCAACTTTTTTTCCCCCCAATTAATAAAGTCCCCTCAACTTTCGGCCAAACAATAGGGCTGTGAGAAGAACAACAGGGCGGAGGTGCGCGCGCCTTAGCACCATCAACCGGAGTAAAGGCAACATTTGCCCAGGGATAAAGCTCAGAAGGCCCCACGGGGCAGAAAAAACCCAAAAAGGAAAAAACGAGCAGGAAGTGGGAAGCGCGCCGCCACACTGTGGGGATTGCCGTCAATGTCCCAAAACGAAACGTGCGTGAAATGTTGAATGGAAAACCAATTTGCTCTGTAAACTTTCACCCAAATCACAACAAAAAGTTTTTTTTTAAATGTGTATATATATAAAAGAGGACTACAAAACAAACAACCTAAAACAGCAAAGCCCAGACGCCCTCAGGCAGGGCTAACAACAGGGCGCCAAGCTCCTAGACCCGAAACCAACCATCAGCCAGTGGACCGTCAGAAACACCGACGCTGCATCCTATAGGCTTGTTAACGACCCAGGAAATTTGGGGAAGTTTGTTTCAATGAAAAGTGGGGGTTGGAAAGCAAATTCGTTTGCAATATGCAAAGGTTACCCCAAATCGTACAGCATCCCTCCCGGAGTGGCCGGTCTGGTCCAGGCGCTGGCTATGACCCAGGGGGCCTTGGGACGAGTGGAGGCCGCGGCCGCGCCGGGGCGGCGCCTGGCCTCTGTGGCGCACTTACTCGTCGCCGTCGGGGCACACGCCGGTGGCCTCGTCGTACTTGGCGCAGTACACGTCCGCGCTGTAGTTAAAGGTGCCGTCACGCCTGCGGAGCGGTCTGCGCCGGCGCTGATTTAGGAAATGCCAGTGGAAACAGGTGAACGGCCTGTGCTGGGCGCACTTGTGCTGCAAAAATAGGGCGCACTGCTCTGTCCTAAACTCCTTTAGATACCTAAAAAGACAGACAGCCAGCGTTGCCGGGCCGGCCCTCCCCCGCCCGCCCCGAGCCCTGCACCCCCATCCCAGGCGCGGCCCGCCAGGTCCCGGGCGCAGTACCCGCATCCCAGGCGCGGCCCCCAGGCCCCTGGGCGCAGCACCCCTATCCCTAGTGTGGGCTCCTGGGCGCAGTAGGCAGCATCTCTGCCCCATCCCAGGCGCAGCCCCCAGGCCCCTGGGCGCAGTACCCCCACCTCAGGCACGGCTCCCCAGGCCACTGGGTGCAGTACCCCCACCTCAGGCACGGCCCCCCAGGTCCTGGGTGCAGTACCCCCATCCCTAGTGTGGGCCCCTAGGCGCAGTACCCCCATCCTGGGCGCGGCCCCCAGGCCACTGGGTGCAGTACCCCCACCTCAGGCACGGCCCCCCAGGTCCTGGGCGCAGTATCCCCTATCCGAGGCACGGCCCATCAGACTCTAGGCGCGACCCCCAGACCCCAGGCGCACCCCTGCCCCCAAGCCCGGGTGTCACCCCACAGCAGGCGACGAGAGCCCGAGTCCACATGGCCGCCTTTCCCCTCCACCCCAGGCGCGGTACCCCCGACCCTGACCCCTAGGCGCGCGGGCTCCAGACTCCGGAGCCCAGGCACACCCCTCGGACCCAGGCTCCGCCCCATGACCCCAGGCGCGTCGCCCAGACTCTCGACCCAAGGCAGCGGCAGCCCGAGTCCAGATGGCCGCCCCTTCCCCTCAATCCCAAACGCGTTCCACGTCTCCCGAGCCCAGGTACCACCCCAAAACCCAGGTGCGGACCCCACACCCCCGACCCCAGGCACCGCCCCCGACATCAGGCGGCGGCAGCACGAGTCCAGATGGCAGCCCCCATCCCGACCCCAGGCGCGATCCCCCGACCCCGGCGGCGGCAGTCCAACCCCAGATGCCGCTCCTTCGCCCTAATCCCAAGCGCGTTCCCTGTCCCCCAAGCCCAGTCGC